AGATTTGCAACTTAGACATTTGGAATTCAGGAATTTGTAACTTAGGGATTTCGAATTTAGGGATTTGCAACTTAAAGCTTTCGAATATAGAGATTTCCCAATTTAGAGATTTGTAATTTCGGAACTTGCAACTTATAGACTAGGAATTTCTCAACTCAGAGGCTACTGAAACCATAGAGAACAGTTTCAGTGTCGTTTCGTCTTTTCCTCCGGTGCAAAAACGATCGTAGAACATTTGCATTTTGAAAGTTTCTAAATGATCTCCGTGAGTAGGATTGTTTATCGGTGGTGATCTTTAGTGGAACAGCCATTTATTACGCTATCGTCTGAGATAATCTCCAGGAACAGCAGAAGAAACGATGCTCGAGCTTTCTGCTGCGTAGGTGCAGCAACCTCCACGTGGCACGCAAACTTAATCTCGTGTGACTGATGAGAAATGTACGCGGTGAGGTTTTAGTTGATGACGTTACAGCTTTGTTCAGTTAATGCAATTGCTATTTGTTCAGGCTTACACTACCTACCCCCTCCCCCTTTCTAGATTAATATTCCCACCTAAACACTGGACACCTTTCAGTTTCCATCGAATCTTACCGATTCTAATAAAAACTAATCTCTCCTGTATTTGCTAAAATAGACACCTTGTTGGATGTTGCATGAAACAGTTTTACGATTCGATGTAAATTTATAATCCCCTGGAACTCGAGTCGTAAACGAAAAGTCACGTTTTCTGACGGTACACGGTTACTCGTCTCCACATATAGGGAGTACGTAAGGAGGTTTAGTTGGAATATTCCGAAAAGATTGCTACAGGATCCGTACAGGGTCTTATGAGACTTTACATCGTAACATATAGCTTCTACCGTAAAAGAAAAACAAAAAAGAGTACAAATTTTGACATGTAGGATAAAAGAAACGATCTTTTTCAATACAATGGCATCCGTTCCTAAAACGAAACAAAAAGAAAAAATAACAATAATTTATAACGTACGAAAATTTACATATACAAGTTAGTTTCGAATTTCGCGTGTCTACGGTAAGACACGTGAAACGAGAGCAAGAGCATTTTTTAATTTCAAAGGTACATGCTTTATCAAGGTAGCACGTATCAGCCGTGTTTCTGGATCCAGCAGCGAGGGTAGTCATCCCCCCGACCTCTTTACAAGATCAAATTATATTACTTATGGCTATACAACCTTACGATCTTGTAAATTTAATCAAGGATGCGCTTCCGTGAGTTTGCCTCGTGTCGGGATCGATTGCTCAGGAATTTCAGGAAATATCAAACGTTCGATATTTTTCTTCCTTTCAAGGAGTTTTCTCTTATCGTTCTTTTTCTCTCTCTCTCCCTCTTCAACAAGATCCGTTTTACACTCTCTCTTTCTGGTAGCACCAGTTACTATCCTACGGATTGGTTCGGGTAATTTTTATCGATCCACGTCAAAGCTCGACCGGTCGAATGGTTTATTCATTAAAATCACGTCCCGTCTTAAAAGGACCCCTCGAATCGCGAGGACATTAAAGGCGGTAACGGTGAATGATCATACGGAAAAGGTACTATCGCCACGAATGACTCACAGAGCGCCACGCTTTCTCTCTCTCTCTCTTTCTCTCTTCTACATCCTCTCTCGCTTCAACCCTCTCTCCTGCTTCTACGATTCCACGTACTGCATCTGCATGTTAAGTTAGATTGGCTCTGAGAGAACTGAACCGTAAGCCACTGGAATATACGTTGTCTTCTCCCTCGCATCTTGGCCTCTCTCTCACTCTCCTCTTCCTACTCCTCCTTCTTCTTCTCTTTCTCTCGCTGCGCTCTCCTTCGTGTGATATACACAGCGAGACACAAACACGCCTGTGACGCCGAGACCGCCACGCACACACGTGGGCGGTGTGCCAAACGTGCGGGCGCGCGCGTGCACCCGATGGTATTTGCATATTTCAAATTATTTCGAGGAAGATGCTAAGTGGAGCGTCGCTTCTGTGCAATGGACCGATGTTCCCTTCATCTTCGTCGCTTCTTTTCTCGTTCCTTCAATCCTGCCCCATCCTCCCCCTTTCCTTCTCTTTACTTCTATCATTGCACTCAACCAGCGTCGTTTTACTCTCTCTCTCTCTCTCTTTATCGTCGTTCGCTCTCATAAGTACATGAGTGCACACCGATGTCGCGGAATCGATCTCTTGGATTCCTCTTACAGGCTTCTCTCTCCCTCTCTCTCCCTCTTTTCTCTTCCTCTTATCTTCGAAAGAATTAACCGGAGCAGTTTCACCTTGGCAAACAAAAGCGATGGGGGAAAAGACGTCTTCTTTCAAGCCGTTCTCTCCTGTCGTCTTTGAGCCGACGATGATACCACCGGATTCTTTAATATCCGATTACCGTCGAATATCCGGATATTTGCCGGCGAGTATGCTGCCTGTCGTGCACGCGGCGATGTAAATATGGCCGTGTTCTGAACGCTTCGGCGTTTTCGAGGCTGATGTTTGAGGAGTGCTGCTTTCATTGCAACTTTTCGTACTAGGGGGGTCTATTGAAATATCCCTGGTGTAGAGACATCTTTTTTTCTCTCGTTTGTGTGTTGTGTAGTTGATTTAGAAGAACAGTAGGAAATCCGTAGGAAAATAGAAGTGAGGAGGCGGTGTTGACTGTGGTGGTTAACGCGTTCTTTGCCATCGACGCAGCGTATGTGGTCCAGAATGTGTTGCTTGGAATGCTGTCGATTTTCTGCTGAAAATCCACTCGATTTCGATTCATAGTCTCAGTCAGATTCGTGGTGATAATTTATCACACAGAGGTGATACAGATTTTTGATGTGTCGACGTTGGCACACAGGGCACCGCATACGCTGCGTCAATGACGTTATAATAGCGTCACTTATAATAGCAATTTTTCTAGATTTCTTTTCTCAAACGATAGTGTCTCTGTGAAAAGTGGAGAAACGTTGAATACTCGTCCAGTGGAGGCTGCGATTATTCGAACCGCAAGAACTGAGCTGACGAAAATCATCCAGCGAGCCAACTGAAACCATTACTACTCGTTTCTCGTTCTTTTCTTCCTATAATTTGTCGTAAGCTTGTTTATTGGCCGCTTCGTTACGATCACTTCACAGGATGAGTAATATCGTAAACGTTCTTTTAGCGTCTGTGTCTGGTGCTGATGAACTGGCCATGATACGTTCTCGGTTGCGCAGCTATTCGTACATTCTTCTATACGGCTATCACGACTCCCTCGAGATTATGTCAGCCACGGTTTCTGAAGGACCGTCACATTCGTTTTAACGCCTCTTTTGCGTCTCGTCAGACGATGGACGCGACGATCTCGTCATTCTTCGCTCTCGTTTAATCCCAACCGAGGGAAAAATCTTCCTTCGATCCCCTTTCCCGCGTGCGTGAAACTCTTTCCACCCTTTCTTCCTCTCGGTTCATCTGATTTCGCGAGAAAGTAGATAAAAATTCTAGAGGAATCTTCGAATCTGTCTATCTTCAAACTCGTGCTTCGATTTCTATTCGTTGATGCTCTTTGCTAATGACACATAGGGGAAGAAAGTGATTCTAATCTTCCTCTCTTCTGTCTAGTTTCGCGAAGAAGTAAACAAAGATTGCAGATGAATCTTCGAAACCTGTCGAGTTAGCGTTTCTACGAGATCAACTTGTTCTCGATCTTCGATCGCGTGTTTCGATTTTCAAACGACGATAAAAGCTACTCTCGGGGAATCATCGATGCTCTTTCTTAATGATACACAGAGGAAGAAAGGGATTCCAAGAGATACGGGATCTTTTCACAAGCGCAACACGATTGATGGGAAATTTATGCATTCCTGTTAGCCGGTCTCTTGAAAACGATGATTCAGAATCGCTTGTTATGGCACGATTTGCACTTAGATGACTCGTGTCATTCTTAGTCACTACTACATGCTATCTTTTCATGTCATCGCGGTACTCTGTGTAACCGTTATTAACTTAACTCGTAAGATGAAAATTGTATTGGGTTGTATCTGCGTCCACCGCGATCCTCTTCACGATTGCTTCGATGTAATCGATGCTTAACTCAAGCTTCGATCCAGTTTATCGACGAGAAATCTCTGAACTAAAATTAAGAATGATTTTTCAAAGGCGTGATTAATTCGCAACAGTGAAGATTGGTTAAAAGCAGAGATTGAAACGAGTAGCTTGTAGAAAATGCTAATTATAGGCCTGACCAAGCCAGATATAAAAGTTTTAACAAGGGAACCTTTCTTTTAGAATTATTCTCGGACCGAACGTCGGAACAGTGCTCTCTTTAGCTGTTCACGTGCTTCAAATATTCATAATCTAAACTTGTTCTCTAGGAATAGCAACGAAACAATAACTTTGTGCTGCTTTATTTTTTTTGTTTTATTAAACGAGAATATTTGGTCATCCTGAAAGATCCTACGGTTTCAAGTCGCTTATTTTCAGAGAACATAACTCTGAAATTAATGTCCCTATTTTAAGACGCTTATTTTCAAAAAATATTTCTTTGAAATTAAACAATTTTATTTCAAATAATTTTGGAGCAAAGTTAATATCCAAAGTGAATAATTTTGGAATAGAGTTAATGTCCAAAATGAATAACTTTGGGGCACACTAATATATCAGCAAAAGTGTACGGAACACTGTGAAGATTATTTCAAATTAAAACAGAGTTAGTATCCAAAGTTAGCAATTTTGGAGCAAAGTTAATATCCAAAGTGAATAATTTTGGAATAGAGTTAATGTCCAAAATGAATAATTTTGGGGCACACTAATATATCAGCAAAAGTGTACGGAACACTGTGAAGATTATTTCAAATTAAAATGTTTAATTTCAGTGCAATTATTTACTTTTTCAACACGAGCAGTTCAAAACCGCGGGAACATTGAGAATGACCTAATATTGCAATGAAATCAGTTTACAACGTTCGTATTGAAACTCTGCTCGGAATAGAAATGTTTCTCATGGTTATTCAGAGTTTCTCTCAGTTCCATGGAAACTCTGAAGTAATTCTTGATCAGCACATGACGCCTGGCCAGCTGGCTTGCTCGTAGTTTCTCTGTTTCGCGCAAACGTCGATGGAACTGTAGTGAAACGGTAGTTGGACGATGTTGATGTCGTAATCCGTGTTGACCAGCATTGCATTGATCGTTGGTATGTGTAGCTTATTAGCGAGGTCGTCTTCTTGAAATTCCCCAGTTATTGGGTTCATGTAAGAGCAACGTGTCTTCGCCAGTACGCACGCTGTGGTATTCACGTATAATTGGGCTAGTTGAACGTCCGTTGTGTTGAATTTCGGGAACATTCTTATGGCCTCGCCAACGCATTCTCTGAGCTGAGTGAAATCATTCTCTGTGAACGATTGCCTCTCCTCTGTGACTGTTGCTAATAGCGACAAAGCTTCTTTACAGCGAAGGAGATGAAGTTTTATTTTGTATAATATATTGTGAAGCAAGACAATTATTTTGTTTTTTTGGGAAGTAATGATAGCTAGATAGATAGATTACATAGGTGCAATTTATGTTTATTTACAGTTGCAAAGTACTGTGCAGAGATGAGAAGATGGCTAGGGAAACGGTGTAAGAGCGAGAAAGGTATAGTCGGTGGAAGAAATAATAGCGAGGTCATAAAATAAAAAATTAAGTATTTTTCGTTTTTCAATTAGGACTGAATCAAAGCTAATATAGTGACCTAGGCAACCTTAAAAAAAAAGACTTTCATTAGCTTTAATCTCAAAATAAACGTTTGGGTATTAGGCCACTATTAGGATATTAGGACACCCAGAGATTTTTTATTGAGACTGAATCAAAATTAAGGGTTTGACTGAGGTTTCTAGCCTTTAACTTCTCAGGTTTCTGTCGATTCTATCGATTTCTGTGAACTTTGACGTCTAACCAATTTTACGACCTCGCTATATTTCTTCCATCGACTATACATATGCCCTATCTTTACGATTCCCTAAAAGATAGCGAGCCTATTACACTATAACCAATCAGACCCTTGTTCTTTCCACCAACCATCTTCTCATCTCTTTATAGTATGTACAAAAGAGAATAAACGTACTTACTAGGTTCCATCTTCCAAATACGGAACGATATTATATACAGAATTTTTATACACATCTCTATATACAGTTTGGTGCTTTTAAACGGTTTGGTTTTGATGTTTAAACTTGTATCTTGGATTGATAGGCTCCGCTCCAGGCCTCACTGTATTAGATTCCGTGTCCTGTTCTCGTATGATGCAAACACTTTTCGTTAATTTCTTGTACAGTTTCAAATAGAAGAGTGGTGTATCTTTGGAAGTCTTCCGCAAGCTTGACGACACTCTTGGATCTACTCGTAGTGCTTCCTGTTTAATATTTACAGTTCTCCTTTCTTCACAGTTTCTATGTACATTACTTACACTCGAGGAATTTGAACAGCTAGTGAGAACTGAATTATTACAATAGAGACGGCAAGTGCATAGGCTTATTGTCTATATGAACAAAAGCACGAGAACAGATTTTCAAGCACCATATGGGTGGAATTGAATTATTTACGTACCAAAGTATCTTTGTTCACCTGGCGGACACATTCGAGGAACGTGCAGTATATCATCGATGGATTGACACGAGAATTTGCGGTACTAGTTGCGTTCTATCCGAAGAAAAATTCAATTTAACAAATAGTTTTACAGATGGTTTGAAATTTTAAAAAATTGAAAATTTAAAAATTTTATCGAATATACTTGCAGCTAAATATTGCTGACAGTGACCGTAATCGGTACCATTGAGATACAAATCGGCACAATTGGACATAGCCATCAATAAGGGATATCCAAGGGGTAGACTTGTAGCCCTGAAGAAGCATCCGTAGCACGCGTCTCGAAGAACGATGTTAGAGCCTTGTGATTCGTTGCACAGTTGATTCAACAATTCAGGAATCTTCACGCTAAGAATAATACAATCGTAAATCAAGCTTATCTACGTCAATTGCACTAAGCGAATTAATCGAAAAGAAACATACTGTTTAACGCCTGCTAGAGATTCTAGAAACTTTGATAGACTCTGTTGAACCATTGGTTCCACCAAATTCACATTTACAATCCCGAGTGTTATTAAAAAAACGGATACACGCAGTTTCGCCATCGTTGCACGGTACTCGTTGGTTATTTGAATGGGTACCAGGTCGTGTCAGCTATTTTATACCGTAGATGAATATGATAGGAGGGCCAGGGACGTGTAGTTTCCGGTAAACAGGCGTTAGGATCTATATTTTCAGAGAAATATTATTTCACTGGTCTATGACATCGGTATTGTCTGGTGACTATAAATAGTCACAGTGTTGTTTTAATTAGTGACGTATTTATTGTTGGAATTTTTCACTTGTAACGTTACAAAATGTTTTCTTATTTTAAAGTTCGTTTAACTATGTAATTAGGATTTCTAAAGGTATGCAGATGTTTATAAATATTGAAACACCCGTTATGTTTGTGTAGAAAGTATTGTGTGATTTAAGTTAGTGTCATTAAAGAGGAATTCATTAGATTTCGGTATTCTTCACGTTCAGTAAGTGTCTTAATACTTACGAAAGGGAGTGTATAGTCGGCGAAAGAAATATAGCGAGGCAAATTCCCTCAGAATGTCAAATGTCTGATCATGGCTGATACAATCTACTTTAGAACGACCACTTAATCCTTTTACTACTATTGGCGCCTATAGACGCCTTGGAAATGTGTTCACACTGTATCCTTGGCGCCTATAGGCGTTTTGAATATTTTCTCGCACTATGTCCTTGACTCCTATAGGCGCTTTTTAAAATTTTTGTCCCTTACATACTTCCACCTTAATTTTTAAAATTCTTGAAAAATTTTAAATCGTCGTATATAATTTATCTGCAGTACAGATTTAACTATTTTTACGAAATTTATTTAGCAATTCTTAGAGAATTGTACTTTCACATCTATTTTCCCTCGATTTTCGTGCGGTCCTGGCAGACAACCATCCGGCAGAAGTGTAACAATTCTCATTACCTCTGTGACCGCGTACAAACGTTGGCGACACACTGTTGGACGTGGTTGTCCCGTAAAAATGGACCGTGAACAGAAGATCTGGGACGATGGAAGTCGGTGACGCGATGGCTCGATCACTGCGGCAAAATCGGCCTGTGTCGCGGATGCGATCCGTCAGATCAGATCTGTCTGGCACCATTATTACATCGCAATATGTGGGAACTTTTGTATTATACTGGAAATGCGGTTTCATTCAACTCTCGGAGTAGCCATAGAACATTTTTCTCCTGACACCTGACACAGTGGCCAACAGTTTATTACTATTTTCTATTGGAAATTTTCTCAAAGGAGTAAAACCTGTTTCTTTGTCGAACAAACTGAAGTGGTATTGCTAGAAAAAATTATAGAGACTGTTTCCAGTAGAAGTTTGATTAACAATGAAAATACAGTTACTTTGACAAAATATTTGGACACTAATATACGGCTTAAGTATTCATATTTAAAGTATTTTCAATTTAATATTCCTAATATTTTAAATATTCTCAATTTAATATTCCTAATATCTTAAATATCCTCAATTTAATATCCGCAATATTTTAAATCTTATAAAATAAAATTTTAATATTCTCAATATCTTAAATATTCTCAATTTAATATTCCCAGTATTTTAAATATCCTCAATTTAATATTCCCAATATTTTAAATATCCTCAATTTAATATTCACAATATTACAAAATAAAATACTACGCTTAGCGGTTATTTTGTTACGCTCTGAATATTTTTGGAAGCACCTGTATATCCACATCGTTTGGTTTATTTCATTAGAAGCGAACGATCCTCTCGCTACTTGATTACCGCGATATTTTTAACCATTTGCATTATTTATTCGCGGTAGTACAGGCCGGGTGTTATGAACCACGTTACAACCCTCCCAGAATTGGTTCCCTTGTTGCCTACTCCGGCTTAAATGTACCTCGCCGCGTTACAATTAGAGGGAAAAGTATGTTACACCTGGGGCGCATAATTCTTTGTACACTTGCCGGTACCGAGTTACCGAGTCTACCTCTCAAAACTTCCCTTCATTTCTAAATACATATAACATCTATTCTTAATGAACTACCTATTCAACACGGCAAAAACACACACACACACACACACTATTCATTTATCCACAATAATTACAAGGGAATCGTACCTGATTCTCTCCACAGTATCTAACAATTTTCCCTAATTCTAATAACAGAGAGCATTTCCATGATATCCTCCTTTTAAAAAGCTCTCTCTCTCTCTCTGTCGAAAGTAACGATTCGAAGAAGCAAGGATGTCAGGAACGAGGGTTAGAGTCGCGTGGACAGGCGGTGGTTGTCCAAAGTGGAAAATGAAAAAGCAACGTCGTCGAAGTTGTCTAATTTCGAGTGTGCCAAGAGGGGAAAGTGGGCCACCGCACTGTGTGCGTCCGAGACGACACACGTGCCGTGGCTATTTATACGGCAGACGGTTCGAGGAGGAGGAGGAGGAGGACGCTTAGGACATGCACGAAAAGAGGTAAAAGAGCGTGAGTAGAGGGGGATGCGGTGCAACCCCGATGGGACCAGAATTAGAATGACTCACAGGATTATTTGGGTTTATGTAATCTGAGAAATTCAACGCGGCCGACGACCGCGACGACGGTGACGTTGCCAGGCGTCGTCTCTGCGTCACTGAGTCGCTCGACTTATTGGTTTCCTGTATAGTACGTGTGAAGATCACGGTGTCACGTTGCATCTTTCATGCTGAAACTGGATTTCCAGATCACGCCAAATTGCCTCGCCTTTTGTCCCTCAATTCTTCCAAATGTTCACACCAATTTAGACATCAGGTTTCTCTTTTGCTTCTTTCACCGACTGTTTTACTATTTTTTTATTTTCGCTTGCAATCTTAATATGCATCATTTTATCAGGTTTACATAATGCAACGAGTGCATGTAATACGTATTAAACACGCAAGTGGTGCATTTTGTATGATGCGTTACATGTAGATAACAGCGATCTATCATGAAAATTGGCGCGTTACACGTACACTGCTGTGTGTAAGTATTGGGGCACTCGTTACGTTCGTGCAGATAGTATTACACGATTTAAGCTACATTTCCTCGCCAAAGTAGGTGTCACATATTAGCAAAAATATATTTTTTTAAAGATCTTCATAATTTTCTAATAATTTTTGTGCTTCATATTCAGCATAAATTCTCGGAAAAAGAGTTCACCAAAAGAGCGTTATCCCTTCCCTGGAACTGCCTAATAAACGATAAACCAGAGGTTCGTGAAACTACAGGGGTTGGGATTCCGCAACATCTATCAGACTTCCAAGCTTCTCGAAGCCTGCCGTTCGATCTTCTCCAGTCGGATTCGATCGAAGGGAAGCCAAACACCGGGCATTTGAACGGTAGCAAACGGGGAGAGCACGTCTTTCGTAATTGCTCGTCACGGCTTGGATCTAATTACAAGTATCCTTGAAGAAATTCACGCAAACCTTACCGCACGACAGCTACGCTTCTCTTCCAAAAATTTCTTCTTCTGCTCTTGTACACACACACGCACATACACACGTCGGTCATGTTTCGTGATTTCATCGTTAAAGACCAATTAAACCGTCCACGAGTAAACCTTCTTCGGAGGGGTCAGTCACGATGACAGCTGCATCTCGCTGTCAATCAGTGTGCTCTTCTCGTTTCTGCGGGCGGTCAATTAAGTGGACGGTAACTCAATCCTGGCGCGGTGTCCCCGCCGCTTTATTTCGAGTCTCGCGAGAATAACGAGTCGTTCGTATAACTCAATTTCCACACGAGACGTGCACCACCGTGTGCTGTTTTTGTCAGCCCACGTTTATTCTCACCAGTTCCCTCTTTTTCTCTCTCTCTCTCACTCTGTTCCCCTCTAGATTTGCCGAATAAATAAGCTTTTCCAGGGAATCGAGGAGGGAGGTGTAACGTCCAGCGAGTCGGAATAATTTAATCGCAATGTTGAACCGTACTTGTAACTCCGCGCGACTCGTTTGTAACTCGTTTGTGTGATTCGGTGCAAAAGGTGCTCCACGGGAATCTATTTTGTAACGCGTTAACGCATTGACTGGTTACCGTGTTACTTGAAACCTTGCACTCGTGGTGCCGCTATAAATTTCGAACTGTGTAATTTAGCCTGACAAACCAACCTGGTCCAATTGAACCTGCTGAAAGAGTAAATAAAGCAGAGCTACTTTAACCCACAGGTGTAAACCTCGCGTTACAAATCCCTTAACGGTCAGAAGACCTAATTGATAGTTAAAGAGGACTCGTCAATGGACGCTATAAGAGGTGCTGAAGACAGTACCCAAGTCAGCAAATCAGTATTCCGATCGCTAATAAAAAAGGAAGAAAAGAAGAAAATCTCTTAAGCATTGTACACGGTTACCTAACTATCTCTACGAATCTCTTCTCTATGAACACACTCTACTGCACCGTCTCATAGACTCCGAAAGCTATCGGAGGGAAGCAATTAGATCACCAGTTCCCTTCTCATAGAATAAGAACCCCCCCTGGAAAAAAGGTTCACCAAATTCCTGGAGGAAGGTAGAAATAAAATAAGGGTGGCGAGAGAGAGAGGAACCCAGCGGAGCGTTCATTTGCCAAAAGGCCCTTCGTGAAGAAGATCCACAAGAATGTTCGTTGTTTAGGGGATGTCATCGCCACTGGATACTTTCCAATTACGTCGACGAAGATTTCCTAGGTTCGTTGATTCGTGGGTTAATCCGCGCCTCGGTTCTCCTTATTGGATTAGGGGTCGCGCAGCGAGCGGCCGAACGACAGCTTGTACACCGCTCGCGCGTACTCCTGATTAAGATTCCTAATTGCTCGTTTCTGTCGTCGAAGAGAGAGAGAAAACCGGCTGTAGAGAAAGTTCTCAAAGCGATATAGACCGCGCTCCTACGATGAAATTGTATCGAGGGCAAGCGCCCGCGTCACCTCGAAATTAGAGTCTGCATAATTGAGGATGTAGAGGCGACGTTCGGTGGGTTGTTGCGGGTGATCAAGGATAAATTCAATTTTTGAGACGCGTCCTACGAAACAAAACTTGTATTCCACTTCTCTCTCTCTCTCTCTCGCTCTCTCGCTTTGTTTCCACAGGGTTTTCGATGGTAGGGGGAGGGTTAAACGCGCGCGCGGCGCGTCGAGTGCCTCGGCAAGTTTTCGACGGCTATTATTTAAATATGACGGGGGAATTATTAAACACGGCCAACTTTGTCTTCCGCTTAATGAATCACGCTGAATATTTCAACCGTTCTGTTCTCATTCGTACGTTACACGCCGAGTTTAAATGCGATTAGCGTTACGATGGGAATTTGTCGATACGCGATTGCATAATTGACCGTGGTGTCGTTGAACACGAAGACGAGATAGAGCTTCGTTTGTAATGTGTACCTTCGAGCTTATTATACAGGCCGATTCAAAGGAGGATTTCAGAGGCTTACCGTGATCAACGAGGGGAGTGAAAAATGTGTAATCAACGTGTAAGTGCTTTGATTCCTTTGTAATGTATACCTTGTGGCTGTTGTACAGGGTGATTCAAACAAGAGACTCTGATTTTGGGAGCTTAGAGTGTTCATCGAGAACAGTGGAAAATGTCTAATCAATATAAACAGGTGCTTAGATTCGTTTGTGATGTATACTTTATATGTAGCTATTATACAGAGTGATTCAAAAAAGGGTCTGAGATTTTTAGGAGATTATGAAATAATAAGGATGTGTTTTTAAAAACAATTATCTTTATTTAATCAAAATATGCAGAATTAGTATTAATGTACTTTAATTAATATTAAGTACCAGCTGATATATTCAATTTTAAATTAGATAAATTCTTTATAAATTTCAGCATAATCGAGCCGCACTATGGTCCACTTTAAATTCATATAGGAAAAGTGTTCTAAATTCCTCCGGGAATTTATATTACATACTTGATTATTAAAAGTTCATGCAGAAGCTTCACATATTGGCTCAATAATTTCCGCTTCTATTATCCGCAAAATTATAATTTGTTAAATACATAAATTCTAATATTTATCTAATTTATTTAAGATTATTGAAGGTAACAAAGTACCGAAATACCTCCTTACATAGTACAACTAAAGATATAAATTATTCCGACATCGGTAGTTTCACGTGGTATGACCCAGTAATTATTCCC